AATTGATGAATCGCATGCTTTTCCAGAAATCAACGAATATAAACGTTTCCTCACCTCCTGCTCTACAAATTGCAGTAAATATGTCCAGCTTGTAAAGTCCTGTGGATTTTCATTCACTGCATTCCAGTATTTCAACTCTTGTTCATTTATAGCCGTCTCAACTTCATCCTGGGATGGCTTCACCTCCTCAGCTTTGTCTGCCTCGGTTGTCTGTTCTGCATTGCTATTCTCAATTTTTTCTTCTTTATTCTCAATATTTTCTTCTGTAGTGACACTTTCCTCGGCTACTGGCACTGTCTCCTCATTTGTTTCCATTTTTTCTTCCTTTTCGGCCTCCTTTTCAGCTTCATTTTCGACAGCACTGCTCAAATTAACCCCGGCTTCTGAACCTTCTTTCTCCGGTTGAGCGTCGACTTCGGGGGCCGATTCTAGACCTATTAAAAATGGTTAGAAACCTTTTGAAAAACGCTCCGTTTTTTTTCAAAACTACCACATACACATAGAAAGATATATAAAGTTTACATCTATGAAGTTAAAATCTAGTTTTAGTGTACTTACTAGCAGGATTCGACGGATTATTTTCAACCATATCTTCTACCTCTGTTGTGTTCTCCATGGCGCACTTTTCAAGAAGAACTAAAGAAGCCTGAATTTAGGGTGTAACAACCTGAAGTCCTGAACCACCCGAATAGGCGCAATTTCGATATATAATCGATATTCAATATCCGTCAATTAATCGGGTCGTATAATCAATAAATCAAATAATATAAAGTCGAGTAATTAATAATGAAAATCAAAGATTGTTTCAAACCAATAATCAAAGGCAAAAAATTCAATCATTATATTAATTTATATAATTATAATCCCTTAAAATATATTAGCTAGAATCGATACAAAAATCAATAACTAAAACCAGTCATTAAATATCGGCAGCCAATAACTAATAGCATCAATAATATCGATAGAATTATTAAAATGACGTCATCCTTGATCTAAATGACGTCATTTTGACTGTAGTACCCAGGCTTTCTTTCTCGCGCGAACGTAAATTATTCAACAAGGACAAAACATGCATTGAAATGAGAAAAAAATTTTGATGAAAAAGTTTTATAAAGCATTGAAAAGAAGACTAATCAAATGATCTCCTTCTTGAACAAAGCAAAGATTCTACAAAACGAAATGATATCGAGGGGACAAACTGTAATCATTTAAATATATATTAATTTACATATATAAATACTGATTGATTCAAGAGATGTTTTCTGTGATAAAAAATGCAATGAGACGTTCTACAATTATATTTAACATCGCTCGTGTTGCGACTCGTTCATATCGTCGTTTTCTAGTGGTTTTACTTGTATTATTCCTGGTGTTTTATATTTCAAGCTCTCTGTACACTTTTGTAGTAGACTTTTATATCCCAACTATGCAGCCAGAGCCAATTAGAAAAGATATGTCAAAAATGGCCATTATTGAAGATCAAGTCAATTTTATACCTTCGATTATCAAGCCTGAAGTGATAACAGACAAACTGTTTGTGTTAGTACTGATCAACTCGGCTGCTGGAAGCGAGACACATTATCGTAAAAGGATGGCAATTCGAAACACTTGGGGTAAGCCTATTGGTAGAAACCAATGGAAAATTACATTTTTTCTTGGCAGGACTGGCAAGCCATTAATAGACGAAAACCGATTAATGGAAGCGAAAAAATATGGGGATATTATAATCGGAGATTTTCCAGATACGTATCGAAATATCACGCAGAAACTCATGATGGCTTTCAAATGGGCATCGGAACAAAACTATGAGTACTTATTAAAAACAGATGATGATGTTTATATTAACGTACCTTTATTAATTAACTGGATTAATGAGCAATCAGAGCCTGGGAGAGCATTATTTGCTGGAGTGTTATATAGGGCTTATGTGATCAGGGATCCGTCTCATCGTCATTTTGTGAGCTGGAATGATTTGCAGCAGAAACGTTATCCTTGGTACCCAAAAGGTGCTTTGTATGTCTTGTCGAGTGGAGTTGTTCGAGGCATGGTGGAAATAACGAATCGTGTTAAAATGATTACTGTCGACGATGCATATGTTGGTGTCTTGGCGTCGTATCTAGGAGTCAAGCCTGTTCGGTTGCATGGATTTATACAATGGGGTTTCCTGCCTAATTTGATAGAGTTATTTGATGTGTGTACATATTTGAATATTATTGGAATGGCAGATAATTTGACTCCAGATGATATTTATTTTGTTCATCAAGAAGTCACTTTATTACGAGATTCGTCGAAATGGATGTGTGTTCATATTTATCACCCCATATTAGTAACTGTAGGCTTTCTGATATTCATAATAGTTATTTTATACAAATGTAGGCGTAATATATTTTAATAGTAGATATATAGGACAATTTTAGAGTGTTAATTAATTAGCCTTTTTTTGACACTCAGTTTATCCCTTGTGGGTACTATGTCTTCCAGGCCTGACAATGTACGTACCACAAAATGCAATCTTTAAATTCTTTATCACTGTAGTCATGTGTACAATGGTAAATTCACAGTTATAACATTGAGAAGTCGCATTTCTCATTGTTTTAACTCTCTGAATTATTTGACCAAGGAAGACAGTACCCCCAAAATGGCAGATATTTGCCCATATGAGAAAGGCTAATTGACAAATGTTGCTAGTAAATAATTATGTAAAATTAACAAGAGATGAACAAGTGCTATAGTGAATTAATAATGAACAAGCTTTCGTTGGAAGGGATGCAACTTCCTGAAAATATATCAGGAGAATTTCAAACAAAGGCCCTTCGTCTGGATTAATGCTCGAAACATTGAAATTCTCCTTATATTTTTTCAATTGGTTGAAAATATATAATCACCATCATTGCCTGAACGAAAGCTTGACTACCTACATCGGCACAGTCCTGAATTAATAAATGCCAATCAGTTGTACATTCAGCTCTAATTTGTTGTATAAAAAAATAGATAATTCTCCTTATATTTTTCAGGTAGTAGCATCCTTACCAACGAAAGCATGTAGATATAGTTCTATCACTTTTCCCTCGAGGTTCAGTAGTAGCACTGTTGCTCAATAAGGGATGGTTCATACAGGAAGAAACCTATTTGAACTAAACCTCATTTATACCATATAGCTCTACCAGTTCTGATAATTCTAAACTGTTTTCCCTAGAGGTCCAGTAAGGACCATCTCTTATTGTTACTACAGGAGGAAACCTAAACTAAACTAACTTTATTTATACTGGATAGCTCTATCAGTTCTAAACTGTTCTTCCTAGAGGTCCAGTAAGGATCATCTCTTATTGATCCAGTGTTACTACAGGAAGAAACCTAAACTAAACTAACTTTATTTATACTGGATAGCTCTATCAGTTCTAAACTGTTCTCCCTAGAGGTCCAGTAAGGATCATCTCTTATTGATCCAGTGTTACTACAGGAAGAAACCTAAACTAAACTAACTTTATTTATACTGGATAGCTCTATCAGTTCTAAACTGTTCTTCCTAGAGGTCCAGTAAGGATCATCTCTTATTGATCCAGTGTTACTACAGGAAGAAACCTAAACTAAACTAACTTTATTTATACTGGATAGCTCTATCAGTTCTAAACTGTTCTCCCTAGAGGTCCAATAAGGATCTTCTCTTATTGATCCAGTGTTACTACAGGAGGAAACCTAAACTAAACTAACTTTACTTATACTGGATAGTTCTATCAGTTCTAAACTATTCTTCCTAGAGGTCCAGTAAGGATCATCTCTTATTGAACCAGGATAATTGATAAAGTGCATTTTGCATTGAACCCTGGTAAGACTAGGCAAAAGGTATAAAGAAAGGATTTAGCTCAGCTTTATTAAATTAAAAAGAAGTCCTGTGTTAATGAATTTGAAATAATTTTACTGATCCCCAAACATCTAAGAATAAAACTATACAATTTTATTTACAAACATTCTAATACAAAACTCAAGTAAATTTAGGAAGCTATTTATCTGCTGTTAATTCGAAGTAGTCTACCAGTAATCTTTCTACCGACTCCAACGTAGAGTTTGTTCTTGATCTGTCTTTGTTTCCAGTGTGGACTTGGCTGTCCAACAACGAGAATAAGTCCAATATTGGAACATTCGCTTTGCATAACTTTTTATTTGTGTATGCATTGTAGATACGATAACTCTAGAAAATTAAGTTGAGAAATCATTTATAGTTGAGCTGTTTGTTCTGGGAAAACGATATCAATACACCATCATCTTCATCACCACCACCATCATTACCACCACCATCTTCCTCATCACCATCACATTTACCATCATTACCATCATCACTATCATGATCATCACCATCATCACCACCATCATCACCATCTTCATCACCATCATCATCACCTTCATCACCTTCATCATCATCACCACCATCTTCACCATCTTCATCACCATCATCATCGTCATCACCACCATCTTCATCATCACCATCTTCATCGTCACCACTGCCATCATCATCACTATCATGATCATCATCATCACCATCATCACCATCATCACCATCATCACCACCATCTTCATCATCACCATCTTCATCGTCACCACTGCCATCATCATCAGGGCTTTATCCAAGCACTTTTACTGACCCCCTTTTTAGAAAAGAAGATTCAGTGTTTGTGACGCACGAATGTAGCAAAGGGGCAAAGTCCCTGAAAGCTTTTGCTATTTCAGCATCTTAGACTATGTTGCCACCGCGTTGCTCGGATGTAACCGCGTGGTTTGTGAATGATGTAATCTTATGTAAACATTGTGCAATACCAAAGAGATGTACTCGTATTCGAGCGCATTTTCTGCGGCTTTTTCACTCTTGCAGCTCAAGATTGTGTATAAAATTTAGATCTTAGTTCGAAAAATATACTTTGTATTTGTAGTATCTGTTATTCTTCGATCATCCCATTTCATTTTGTGCTGATTTGATCAAAATTTTTATCAGAAATCCAAACATGCATGCCATCTAAGCATGGTGGGCACAAGACACAAAATATACGATAGAGGTAGCTTTACAACATAAACATGTCGTTTTATTTGGAAAGAAAACCAGCTCAGATAACCCTGTTTCTCGGAATTCCAAAAACTAAAGGGTGTGAAAATGATTTTTTGTTGTTTTTTTTCTTTTCGTTGGGGGAAAGATTCAGTTAAAAACTCAATTTAAGATTGAGTTTTGACCTCCGTTTGTGCTTTGTCAGTTGGTGCTTGGATAAAGCCCTGATCATCACCTTCACTATCACCACCATCTTAACCACTATCATCATCACCAAAAATGTAGCAACTCCAACTTACCAAACTACAGCAGGCAGCAGGAAGTGGCATCAAAGTGCTCCATACAACTTGCGCATGCGCTGTATTATTAAACGTGTCATGTAACAACTGTGATATTTGATTGATAAGTTTTGTATAGCTGTCATATGGTAGATGCCTTATGAAACCAGAACTTAATATCAACGCATTCTGTGGCTGTCGCAATGAATAATTCAACAAAGATTTAAGACTGTTTAGAACAAGTTCTGTGATACGACCACTGCTCAATGTAGTCACGTCCTCTGTAGGGTAGAACAATGTCGCGTTTTCACCTAAAACAAAAACTTTGTTACAGGATTTTAAACAGAAAGTTTAAGCGAAAAATACCATAAATAAAGTTAGTTTAGTTTAGGTTTCCTCCTGTAGTAACACTGGATCAATAAGAGATGATCCTTACTGGACCTCTAGGAAGAACAGTTTAGAACTGATAGAGCTATCCAGTATAAATAAAGTTAGCTTAGTTTAGGTTTCCTCCTGTAGTAACACTGGATCAATAAGAGATGATCCTTACTGGACCTCTAGGAAGAACAGTTTAGAACTGATAGAGCTATCCAGTATAAATAAAGTTAGTTTAGTTTAGGTTTCCTCCTGTAGTAACACTGGATCAATAAGAGATGATTCTTACTGGACCTCTAGGAAGAACAGTTTAGAACTGATAGAGCTATCCAGTATAAATAAAGTTAGTTTATTTTAGGTTTCTTCCTGTAGTAACACTGGATCAATAAGAGATGATCTTTACTGGACCTCTAGGGAGAACAGTTTAGAACTGATAGAGCTATCCAGTATAAATAAAGTTAGTTTAGTTTAGGTTTCCTCCTGTAGTAACACTGGACCAATAAGAGATGATCCTTACTGGACCTCTAGGGAGAACAGTTTAGAACTGATAGAGCTATCCAGTATAAATAAAGTTAGTTTAGTTCAGGTTTCCTCCTGTAGTAACACTGGATCAATAAGAGATGATCCTTACTGGACCTCTAGGAAGAACAGTTTAGAACTGATAGAGCTATCCAGTATAAATAAAG